AAGTTTTCTTTCTCGATAATCGATATTAGAACATCTGACATGCGAGGTATCGCGACTATGAAGATATCGATATAGATCGCAGTTTATTGTGAGAATCGTACAAAAACCAATAACCTCAAAACTAAAAACGTACTGACTGTTGAAGAAAGTGGGGTATTATTACAATATAAATAATAAACATCCAGCGTACTCCCAGATTACAGCTCACGTCTGACAAACGTCTAGTAACAAAAAGATTTGAACGGGCCTGGCTTTCCAAAGGGAAAACAGCTCGATTCACCTTTGTATCAGTTCTGAACGAATTGACCAATGACCAAGAAACTCAAGAGGAAATGCCTTCATGCTCTATAAGGCATACTTCCGATCCAAACATCAAGCCGTGTACAGTCCAACAGGCGTAATATTATCGCCATCCAGTAATAAAAAAATAAAAAATAAACTTAGCTTGTACGTAGTTAAATCTATCGAAAATATTTTCTAAGATGGCTTCCTCTTGGTTGTTGTTTCGCCGTGTAATCGGGGAGAAGTTTACAAACGTTTCAGAGGTCCTTGCTGACTCCATCATCAGGGCGGCTGATTGCCCAAGATTTTATTGATACTTTTGTGTTTTTTTTAAATTCCAAAAAGGTGACGAATCAAACAATTTAAGTTACGTTCTGAAAACAAACTGACTGGTTGGTTCATGTCTTCTGTGTGACCAAGAGTTCCTTGGCTAACCGCAGTTTACCAATTGTTATTCAAGTATCTGCCATTCTCCATTTGTACCCAATTTTACCATTACTGATTATTCAATGTTTATCATAAAAAAAATTTAAATTTCACGTACCCCCTAAGATGTCTTCGCGTACCCCCGGGGGTACGGGTACCCCAGGTTGATACCACTGGTCTAGAACAGTGGTATTCAACCTTTTTTGTTATCGTACCCCCAGATATAATTTCTCTTCAACTTTGTACCCCCCAAAGTTGTTGGTGTATAATTCAAGTTATACATAGTATATAATCTACATCTAAAATAAATTAAATAAATTACATTACTGATTATTCAGTGTTTATCATAAAATAATATTATTTTTTAAAAATTTCACGTACCCCCTAAGATGTCTTCGCGTACCCCCAGATATATTCTCTCTTCAACTTTGTACCCCCAAAGTTGTTGGTGTATAATTCAAGTTATACAAAGTATATAATCTACATCTAAAATAAATTAAATAAATTACATTACTGATAATTCAGTGTTTATCATAAAATAATTTTTAAATTTCACGTACCCCAGGTTGAATACCACTGAATTAGTGGCACGCCAGCGAAAAAGGTTGAGAACCCCTGTTCTACACATTCTTGTGTTTAGGGAAGGGACAGACACGTTGTTCGGGCATCGACAGTGTTAACAACGCCTTGGTACTACCAACAGGAACGCGACTCCCGCGGCCGACATGGGAACTACTAAACAAATGCTGTGGAACACAACACAGTTTTCCCTTCCTTCGCGAATCTGAGTTAAACAATGCCGCCAAAAAAAAGTAGTCCAAATAGGGTTGAGTCGTTAGAGTGAACGACTCATTCATGAGGGCTGCGAAAAATTAGTTGTTCTCGTCAGTAAGAATGTTTTTTTTTCATCAACGATTTACCACATTCCTCCCTGAACACGAATTCAGAAACACCAGGAACGAACTCGTGGTCCGCCTCGCCGCTTGAATAATACGAGAGTCAAATTGAGTCAAATTAAAATCTAGACAATGACGCGCCCAGGCACTGAGACTCGCGAAGGAACCGACGCGTTTGAACGACTCCGTGGGCGACCTTGAGGGAGCTAGCTCGAGACAGTGAACTGGTCCGACCCATCACTCATGTCAAGTCCAGCAGTGATAAAATAAGCCTTCTTTGTTGAAAACAGTTGAGTACATGCTCCGCTGCTTTTAAACTACATTCCTTGCTGGAATAATAAACATGTATACACAATTTCTACTCTTTTCTTGGAATACACTTGTGGAGAGAAGCAATATAATGCAATATTAACCTCAATGTGGGCACATTTTACGACCACCGTATGACAGAACCGTGAACATTGTGTTTCCGTTTTACTGAGCTAATCTCATCAGTGAGTTAAAAAACTGTCTGGCGTGCCTTTATGTTAACAAGTGGTTTGTTTGCTCGTACTGGGAGTGCAGGAAACTTGAAGACGCTTGTAGAGGTGAGAGCAGTAGATATGAACTACGTGTTTGCAAGTTACGCTAATTTGGACCGAATACGCTTTAAAACAACAATGACGCAGTGCCAAGTTTGTGCTGTCATGGTGGAGAGCACAAACCGGGTATCTCCCAGATGTAAAAATATTGTACATCTTACTGAAAGCTGTTGGTTAACACTCTTGCTTCGTACAAGGGAGGTATCTGGTTCTCCGGCATGAAACAGGCTGCACTGATCGAGAGGTTTTGTGGTTTTCCTCAGCCACGCCGAGACAGACCTTAAACTGGACTACGATCACTTCATTCGCTACGCTACCGTCGGCGTTCTTAAATATACCACAAATAAGCAGAATGCAACGTCCCGTTTTCTGTCTACTTATGCACATCACAGAAGAAAACTTTTTTGACGTAAATACGTCTATATGGAAGGGTCATTCCGCAAAAAAAGTGTTACGAAAAAATGACAAAAAAATGTGTAAGATCCGTATCAACAAATCGACAACAATGTGTAAATATGGACCGACAACAATGACCAGCTTGCGTGCTATGTTACCTAGGAAACGTCATCTGGACAAGATGGATGACATTGAAGATAACATTACATTACTTTACATTAAATTACATTACATTACAGAGACGTAAATATAATTTAAATACAGAGACGTATTTACGTCAAATTCTCCGGAACCGTGGTTCCACTGTAACTTTTCCTTTCTTTGCCTAAGACGCTCAAAGGTCCTGGAAGAAGATGCCTTTTAAGGTGTCCTTGGAATGTCAGCTGATCGCAAGGTATGTAGAAGGACAGGCAGCAAATGGAATACTGAGGTTAAATTCCTGAAGCGTGTCATTATCATTGTGGGGGCGGACGTGTATAATTTAACAATCGACTCTTCACCTCCAGTTATTTTATGAAGAACAACAAAGTTCAGAGATACGTGAACAGTGTGAAACACGTTGCAGAGAATAACCAAATAAACACAATTTAATACAATTTCATGCATAATTAAAAATGTTCACAACCAGTTTCAACCATGCGCAATTTCATATCTCACCGTGTTTAACTGGAAGTACGAAAATGAACTTAGAAATGACCACTTTCATTGCAAAACAAAACCAACAACTTACCTCAAAGCTTCAGAGAAAGTGCTTTCTCTCAGTAACAATGTATTATTTCAGTACGACTGTAGAAATGGTATTCCACACATTTACGTGTTGTTCGATCCCAAAAGTATTACCAAATATTTTTTAAAGAACATGAGATTCACAGCCGCACAAAAATACACTTGATGCAGCAAACACGGACGAATCACAAACGCTTGCTACAGCATTACACGAACTGAACGACTACGCAGCGATTCCAGTCAGCCTCGAACAGCAGCTGAGTCGGCTGCGTTCTCTCGCTGTGAACTTGTTCTTCCTACGTACCACACTCCCCCAACCCCGCAACACGATACTCATGGCCAAAGAGTAGGGAGAGGATGCATGAAACAAAATGTTTGCTAATTGAACCGTATGCTCATGCGCTGTTTCATGCGACACGAATTTTGTCGTCAGTGCCATGATGAAAGGGTATGATATCCAAAAGTAAGCATCCGAAATGAATAAATCAGGATTCACGTCTGTTTCAATTCCTCGGAAACTGAAAATCAGTTAGACATTTTGCACAGGAGAGCGCAACACAGAAAGACGACGAAAAGTCACGCCTAGAAAGCGCGACCACTGAAATATGAATTTGTGTCGTCTACAATTCGGTGAAAATAAATCAGATTTGAACGGACTTCTCGAAATATGTTTTTCGTGTTCTGAGCTTTAAAATTTTTACCCGTTCACTCTGGTGACAGTAATATGATAATATGCACCTCACTGTTCGTCGCCTGAGTACGGAAGTGTTTTTATCTGCACTTTTGGAAGAAACTATGATAATGCACCTTTCGAACAAGCCGTATTGTTTCGTACCAACACAACGAACCACAAAGCTAAAAAAGGGCGGAGTCTCGCGTGTTGTCCCTTGCTAGATTAGACCATTCGTGCGAAACACTAAACTGGAATTAATTAACTATAACCGGTGATGTACTTTAACGGGGTTTTTGTCTTAGCTGAAGGCTTTGTCACGCCTTTTAAAAAAGTTGGAGGATGATCCCATACAACAAACTTTCCTTTGCGAAAAGAACTTAGGTTGGATGCATGTCTGGAGTTGAACCAAGAAAGGTTGGAATTGCTTTGGCTGCTGCGACTTTTTTTTTTTTTTTTGGGGGGGGGGGTCCGACTAAAGGGGCGGATTTTGATTGGTGGACTCCATGATTGGGGGTTGGCAGGCCTGCTTCTTTTGACATACCCTGACACCTTGCAAATGAGGAAAAGTGCTGAAAACTAGTCACGATGGCGAATTGTGTTTTGTTCTAATTAGTCACATTTATAGAGCGGTACTTTCATTACTGACCCTTTAATGAGCATGCGCAAATCCCACCACTATTTACACAAGTAATACCAACCTAGGGACGTGAGTCACTGCTTGCGCGCGAGATAGCAGGATATTTCTTCGAAAATGTTTCTTTCTCTTCAGGATATCACTTGCAAGATATCGGCATTTAATATATACTGTGGCTAATTCAGAACAGTTCATAACGCAATATTTTCGAAATCATGCAGTTGACATCGAAAAGAGACAGACCGATTAAAGGCAAGGCTATGGAACTAGTATTTACAGTTGCACAACGTGTAAAATTAAAGAATTTGAATTTGACAAGCTTTGCAAACATTTCGAAGAGAAAGCAGAAAATTATTTGTTCTATCGTTATTTGTAATGCGTCATACCTTGAGTAAGCGGAAGAAAAGTCTGGTGTGTTGAATGGGATCTTCTGCATGACAGTTCTTGTGTTATGTGGAGTAATTCCATACCAACCCTCACGAAGGCTGTAACCTATTAATATAAGTATATAATGGTAACATACACTGCCTCTCCAGGTTTAGACTTAAATAAATTCACACCTATTACAACTAATCACATACAATTGAACAATATTAGTGTTACTTCTGATAATTGATGAAGTATAACATGTTTTCATGATGTACTTTCTCACCGTTATTGTGGCAGTAATGGCGTAGATGTCTGCTGCACAGGAAATACCAACATGGCTTGCTTTAGCCTCGTGTTGGGGAAAATGTTCAGGAAAGTGTTATAAACCCCTTTAGTGAACTTTAAGAGCTCTGAAGATACACTTTGAGACAAGCATTACATTTAAAATTTTAATGTGAGTTGTTTGTTGTTTATTCTGCAAAGAACAGAATGAAGAAAATCACAAATCCATATCTGGCAGCGATCATGTTAGGAGGTGTCATAAACATACGAACTTATATCATGGGTAAGATACATCCTGAAGATGCCTGTTTTCTGAGTTGTAAGGCAGTGTAGCCAGGCAGAAGTTTATTGACGTTTCAGAGGTGCTTACTGCCTCCATCACCAATGCCACCATGTCATTTCAACCCCACTGAACTGGTCTGATTCCAGGCAAAGTTGTGTAAATTGGTCAAAATGGGCTTGGAATGGAGGTTGTGATAAAGATGGGGAGGAATCATTTGAACAGGTATGTTATTCTTTTCTGAATTGTTTAAATATCAAATACCTGCAGTGACACAATTTTTTTCTTTTTGCATTATTTTATATATTATTTCAGATTTTGGAAAGAATGGTTTCAGTGCGTTTTTCTAACCTTCAAGTGACTCCGTGAATGCGGGAAAATGATGTGTGGCATGCTGAGAGGCTGATGAAAGAGAGTCAGGAAGCAGAAACCTGTATAGAAAATAGTGAATCAATTAATTATTACTCTTGAAGAGACCTCTGCGGAAGACGGTGATTCATATGTCTGGCCAGTCACACTTGAGTAAATGTAAATAATAATGGATGAGCAAATGTGGATTGATTCATATTTCTATTCACTGTAGTCGTGCAGGAAGTAATTGTAATTTATTGTACATTATCATTCTGCTATGAACAGTTAACTACTGAGATAATTTTCCTACAAAGAAATCAGACAAATATGACATGACTTTGCTGATTGTATTGAAAAGTATTTTTGCATATGACACAAAACAATTCATAAATACTTTTCAAAACAATAATAAATTGTAAAATATGAATCTGAAAACAGAGTCCTTAACAATTATCCTGAAATCAAAATTTTAGATTCAAGGGAACCAGCCAATGTTCATTGATCAACCCAGAGGTTAGAAGAACCTTTGTCTAACAATTTCTCCACATCGGGCAAGCTTACAGTATCCATGGTGCATGAGATTTGAGCACTCTTCAATGATGTATTATACTCAGCTAGTCCAGTAAAACTAACCTCAATAACTCCCATAAGGAATCCTGATCACAGAATCAAACTCTGCTCCCATTTATTTGAGCCATCCAGCATAACTGAAAATGAGAAGGTTCAGGCGAATAAATATTTGTTGCATCCCAAGATTACTTGGTGAGGAGAGTGATCTATACAATAAGGTAACAAATATATTTTTGTAATATCATATAAAACAACTTACCAAAGTATATCAATAAAATTTGTAATTGAATTGTTTGTCATTTATTTTAATTCAGAATATGCAGTAAGAAAAAAGGATACATTTAGCATATGATGTCACTGCTGGCACTATCTCTGGTGTACATTCACTAAACAGGTATTTAGAAACTATTCAGAAGCTTTTGACTGTGTGGTGCAGTTCGAAGCACTTATCTGAAGCATAGCTCAGTCAGTATAGTGACTGGCTACGGGCTGGACGACCGGGGTTCGATCCCCGACTGGGGCAGAGGAGTTTTCCTCTAGCCTCTGTGTTCAGACAGGTTCTGGGGCCCACCCAGCCTCCTTTACAATGGGTACGGGGGGCCCTTTCCCAGGGGGTAAAGCGCTGACCACTCACTCCCATCTAGTGCCGAGGTCAAGAATGAGTAGGAGTTATACTGCCTCTCCCCCCAAGTGCCTACATGGCGTATAGTGGGACATCTTTACTTTACTTACTTGCAGTAATAAATTTTCTCTTGCTGAAATTTCTTTGCACACAACACAAGACCCCTTTTCCTTTTTCTCAATAAAGTGGAGGTCTACCATTTAGCCTTTCTTCAGGTCTCACTTTTCTTACTTGTGATTCTTTTGTGGATTCCATGAGATTGTTCAAACTTTTTATGTTTTGTAGGCATCATGAGATTTCTGTCTTCTGGGTTGTTGCGCCGTGTAATCTGACAGATTTCCAACAACGTTTCAGAGGTCACACTGCCTCTGTCATTCATTGCCCTGATAACAGAGGTAGTATGACCTCTGAAACGGTGGTTAACATCGACCAGACTACACAGCGCAACAACCCAGAAGACAGCAAACTTCAGACTCACCGCTGTGAGAACCTCAAATCCTATATAGGCATCTTATTGTACTGTTCCTGAACGAAGACAGAGTGAGTATGAATTTACTACATTCACTTCCAGGAGCCAGTGGAACATTTTGCTGTGCCGCTTTGTCAAGTTATAAACAGGTAAGAAGAAATATTAGCGGTCACTGTTCAATGCAATCAAATAACACATTGGTTATTTTATAATTTAGCCATATTTATGAATGAATTCTTAAAAAGTTTCTGCCGAGATTTGACTCGTAAGATTCATTAAAGGCTCAGACTGTAAGAAGTTGTCCCTAATTTTGTTTTCATAAATATAATTAATTCAGATACTAAACTTCCACTGGAAGTAGATCGATTGTTTCATTGGCTAATAAGTGTTGTGATTAAAATCAGAATTCACCTTGACTGCAATTTAATTTAAAAGCACTGAGCTACATTTTGTACTCTTGTTGAAAAATATAGGATATTTGTGGGTAAGTGGCTTAGTAAGACATCAAATGCAGTATAACAACAGAAAATGTACTTCGACATCCAAAGGTCAAAATACAAAAACAATTAAATTTCTTTATGTATTCCAGGCAAGTTTAGGTTTTGAAAGTTTAAAGGAGTATAAACTTGGATGACTTTGATTTGAGTTGTAGAAATGAACAGTATCATGCTGAATTGTTTTAGACTTAACCATACAAAGAATGCATAATACATTAAGCTTTGGAATATACGTAAAATCCACTGCAACAGGCAACCTTATCAACAATAGTTAATGCCTTCCAAACGAATATAAATTAGCAAGCATCAATTATTTAAATAAATAGACTGGACACATACCCAGTATCCAAACAAGCAAAATTAGAAGAATTAAAACTATAAGAGTATCTAAAATATTAAAAATTATAATAAGACAAGTATTGCAAAATAACCGAAGAATAAAAAATAAATAAAAACACGAACTTACAAACAAAAAATGAATAATGGGTTAATTTTACATATTCAGGACGTAGACAAAAACCAGCACAAAGCTATTCAAAGACTAAAACATAAATATAGCCTACAGGGCAAATAAAACAATAAAGTGCATATTAATACTAAAAACAAGAGAAATTGGCATAAACAGTGGTGTACATCAAAAGTTTTGTTTAAATTGTGCAATTAAGTATGTTGGTCAGAAGGTCCGTACTTTTAAAATTGTATTTAAAGAACATACCCACGTCAGAAGTAGCAATCAACCCAACATTGGAGACTCACGCCGTGTATTGGAAATGGGGCATATATATGGTAGAATAAATAAAACAATGTAAGTTGTGTGAAAAATTAAAAAGGGAGGCTTTTAAATAGCCTAGACACGTAGTCCATATTAGCGAAGACCAAATACACTTGTACGACTTCAATCATACCTTCAAGTTATCGGAATTTTCCAACAGATAGCAGCACTTAACTAACTGTTTTATAACTTCTTATTTATCCTTCCCATTCACACGCGACATCTCCACACCAGAACCAACAACACAACACAGGGAAGATGAAACACAAAACCAACGCAAAAAATTATAGTATTGTAATAATAAATATATGTTTTTACAAATACACGATAACGGAAAACTGACAAAGACCACAGTATCCAAATACTGCTTGTGGAAAACGTGGTTGATGTATAAAAATGTAAACTATATACGTGCAAAAGGTTTTTAAAAATTTAAATAAGAACATTTTAAACAGAAGAAACGTGTAAAAACATATAAAATATCTGGACTTGATAACTGAATTCAGCCAAAACATGTATATATAAAAAATATAAAATTGACAGTGGTTTATAAGACGGTGTGAAAAGTGGTTGTGCTTAAAAGCACTCACGAAAACTAAGAACACACCAGGATGCTACAGTACAGACTGGAAGTAGTATTACTACTCGCCGTTGGGCGCGCTAGTTGTACACAGACAGAGACAAATAGTTATTTCGATTTGTCCTCGTTTCTAACTTTCCGTCGTCAGGAAATTGAAATCTAACTACACATTTCACGCATCAGTGAATTTCTTAACAAAAGTTGAATTATTTTCAAAATGTATTAGGTAGGCCCAACCACAAACATCTTAATAGCACTATTTAATGACGCAGACATATAGACACGCGGACACGAACATATTTTTCATGTAAGGAAAGTAGGCTGTAATCATCAAACGAACCAAGGCTAGACACAACCCACCTGTGTGAACATGCCCTTAGTTATAAAGCTTACAGTGGCCCATTAAATCTCAGAATAACATTCACAATTATGTCCACAATGACCATAACCTTGTCGACCTACAACAGCGCCAATATGCATGTTAACGATGTCAACACGCAGTACGCGGAAGTGGACGGCTACTTGTCCCTTGGAGTGAGTGAGACGCAAGCTTCTAGGTCACTGGAGCCACCACTTATACTGCTGAGTCAATGGCCGGCCGAGGCAAATTCACTGCAGGACTGGCATATAAATACTATGGAGCGAGGGGCCTCGTCATCTGGAGGTCCTTGCCTCGAATGCCAAGGAAAGCTACTTTTAATTTTACAACCACTGGTTAAACAAATGTATTAGAAGTACGTCTAAATAGCACAGATTATACACGACTGAACTAAAATTACACACTAAATATAAATCGGTTTTAACAAATAAACATTGACGTCTGAATGAATTACCATGTGCTTCCTGCAACGTTTGGTTTGTGAAGAATGTTTGTTATACATGCAACTAGTCTTATACCGCAATGCGTACTGTTTATCATATCACATGGGTAAAATAGCACACTTTTATTTTTCTCATAAACTACTATCATATTTACCAATAATCACTACATAACACGAAACTTATCATGATTTTAATAACATGTTAAGCCAAAAGCTAAACAGAGAACAATATAACGCAGTAAAAGAACCATTTCTTGTTGATAAAATAGTAGAAACATTTAAACAATAAAGTCCCTAATACAGTGAAAGCGATATATCGAGTATTAACAACTAAACATATCGATAGAGAAAGGAAAATATTATGTGCTATTACGTATGTGTGCAGAGTTGACAACTCTTACGTAATTTAACCTAAAAATGACTGTACTTACTTTTCCAAACCATAGTCTAAAACAAAAGAAACACTGATAGATGCAATTATAATTAATTATGACTTACTTCCAAAGTCTTCATTAAACTGGTGACAGATGTTATACTGAAGATGTTGATGAACTATGACAGGAAAATCGCAAGAGAAAAACCAAAAAACACTTCTGCACTGCTCAGTTGCTCTAAACACGCCATCCGCCATCTTAAACTTGAGTACCAACCTAGTCACCCAAATAGCGCAAAATTCAAAATCATTCAATAAATAATTTTGTCAGTAACAGAGGTGTGTCGTTTAAGGTTAGTTTTTCCTAAAATTGTTCTTGATAATTCACTTCGTACCTCAGAGAAACACAACACTTCACCATTACAACTGGTGAATGCCCTTAAGGAAATAATGTCTGTTTACACCGAGAATAACGCAAACGTGATAAATGAGCTTTTAAAAGTAGAGTTATTGATTGTCAAATTAGGTGGTACATATAGTTACCACTGAGCTTTAAAAGGCTAACGTTACTTATAAATCTATAGAGTGATAAAAATCCGTAGCACAACTTATTTCGGAGGGGAAATAAAGCCGGCGGTCACATGTCGTAGATTTTCGGCATGTAAAAGAACCTTACGAAATGTTTCGTAAGCAAAATTCAGCGGCCATTTCTCAACCCAAGTCTCCTGATAAACAGCTAGATGGCTCTGGTAGTCAAATCAGGATTGAGTAGAAATTGTGCAGAGGCATTGGGTTGGTCACTCACTACACATAAATGCACGCTTAAAAACCAAGAAACCTTCGTAAAGGAGGGGGCGAAAACCCATAACCGAGTTGTACAGCCAAATAAACAACAACAACATAAATCTATAGAGTGCTGGCTCGATGCTATTCAGTTCGTATTCGGTCTGAATAAGATTTATTAACAGGAGAATCTTGCAGGGTATGATCGTGCGTTAATCTTTGTCCTTAAAGCCCATTATGTAGTAACTGATATATTAGAAATTACTGGTGTTACGTA